CCCCCCCCTTCCTCCCTTCCCCCCCCCCCCCCCTCTCCTCCCCCCTCCCCCCCCCCCCCCCCCTCCCTCCTCTCCTCCTTCCCCACGAACAGCAGCAGCCGCATCCTTCCTCAATCAAACGCAGCACCGCAACCGCACCCTCCACCGGCCTTCACCTCCTCCCCACTCCCTTCATCAGCCGCAGCAGCCACATCTCCCCCTCCACCTCCCCCTACTCCCCTTCCTCCCCCACCAGCTGCAGCAGCCGCCTCATCTCCAGCAGCCGCACCATCAGCAGCAGCAGCCGTATTTCCCCCCTCCCCTCCCTCCTCCTTCTCCCCTCTCCACTCATCCCCAGCAGCAACAGCAGCAGCATCCGCAATCGCACCATGACCACCGAAACACTCGCCGTCGACATCTCCACCATCGACGTCCTCGAGCTCATCGACGACGCCGTCCCTGTCAACTGGGCTACCTTTGCCCAGAGCCTTACCAATGTCCTCGGATCCGCTATCATCAACGACTACTGCCTCCTTGACATTCTCCTTGGCAATGACGCAGGGCAGCCCCCAGAATGTCCGCTGATGTCTCCCCTGCACCTCCCGCCCCACCCCCCCCCCTCGGGACCGGCCCCCACCAAGCCCTCTCCACTGGTCTACACCGACGACCCTGATCGCTGGGCTCGCGTGCAACACCAATATGACAAGGACTTTGCGGAGTACACTCTCCTCCATCACGCGTATGACGCAGAGCAAGCTGCGCACGACGCGCCAACACACTCCTCCAACAGCACAAGGACGCCACGGCTAAGTATGCTGACGACTTTCGTGAGTACCGTCGTCGCCACTCTGCCTGGAACGTTGCCAACCGCAAATGTCTCGCTATCCTGTCTGCATGCGTTCCTTCCTCCCTCAAACGCGAAATTACCCCCTCCTCCGCTCCCGAGTTCTGGAAAGAGCTATGTGCCACCTATGACCTCCAGGACACCAACTCTCTCCTAGCGCTCCACCGCGCCTTCCTCGACATCAACCTGACTCCTGCCCCAACGCCCTCTCCTTCACGCGCCGCCTCCTCACCACTGCCAAACGCCTTGCCGATCGTCGCTCTCCCCTTCCCGACTCCCTCATCGTTTGCCGCCTCCTCGACGGCCTCACACCCATGTATGAGGCCCGTCGCGTGGCGTTCAATGAGGTCCACGCCAGCTTCCCACCCGACTCCGCCTATGTAGCCGCATGGATTCTGAAAACTGAAGCGGAGCTTCTCCGCCAGTCTCCTCCAACGGCTCATGCTGCCCAAGCAAAAGGAGGACGTGGTGCTGGCCGTGGCGGTACTTCGGCGGGACGATCGGGTGGTGGACGTGGCGGGGGGCGCAGTGGAGGACGCGGGGGTAGCAGTGGTTCCAACAGCACCGGCGGCTTCTCCCCGTGTCAGTATCTCATCCGCAACGGCCCCAACAAGGGTAAGCGCTGCCTCCAAACCACCCATGCCACCACCACATGTTTCAAGGCCCTCACTGATGAGTGGCTTGATCGAGGCAACACGGGCACGCCCCCTCGCTGGTCCGCTATCACTCCACCTCCCACTCCCTTTGATGTTCGTACCCTCCCCGCCTATCAGCCCTCCTCTACCTCTCTCCACCACATCCTCGCACAGCACCTCCCTCCACAGATCCTCCAGCAGGTCACGCCCCTCCTTCCGTCCCCACAGCCGCAGCAGACTCAGCAGCCGCAGCAGAACCAGCAGCCGCAGCAGTCCCAGCAGCAGCCGCAGCAGCTCCTGCAGCAGCTCCTCCAGCAGCTGCAACAGTCTCAGCAGCACCAGCAGTCTCAGCAGCAGCCCTCCCCTCCCTCCGCCTGGAGCTCTGGCCTGTCTGCTCCTGCTCCTCCTGCGCAGGCCCCCACCGGACCTCCTGGCTTTACCCCATTTCCCTCACCTGGCTTCATCAACCATGTTAGCCATGCTCTCCTGCTATTCCTCCAATGTATCCCGAGTCTATTAATGAAACCTCCTTCCAGTACTCCGTGTCTCACCCCACCCTCCTTCCATTGAGTTTGTCATTGACAGCGGCGCCAGTGTCACAGTCCTTCGTGATGCTGGTGCCCTCACCCCCTCCCTAACCCCTCCACCATCATTGGAGCCGATTCTACTTTCTCGGTCACCTCCCGCCATACCTCCACTCTTCCCTGCCCCCTCTTCCCCTCAGGTTCAGTAACTGGCTTCCATGTCCCCTCCCTTCGCACTAACCTCGTCTCCCAAGGTGCACTTCAACGGGCCGGGGTCACAACAATCTACCCCGGCCACGCCACCCACTGCGATTGTTTCACTCATCCACGGGCCATTTCATCGTCCGTGTTCCCATGTGTCCTCGCACTCGCATGTACACCCTTCACACTCCCCGTCCGTCAGCCTGTCACACTGCCTCCACCATCCCTCCCCTCCCCCCTCCTCTCTTTCCTCCGCAACCTCCCTCCACCTCCCCTCCCGCCCCTCCTGCTCCCCCCCATCTCAGTGCCACTGTCGTGATCTTACACATCCTGCCATCCTCCTCCACCACCGCCTAGGTCACCCCAACTTTGCCACCCTCCACAAGGCCGTCGCCTCCGGGCTCCTCAATGGCCTTCCCCTCACTCTCCCCCACTCCCTCCCTCCCCCGCCCCCCTTGCACCATCTGTGTCCAGAGCAAGCTCAAGCAGCTTCCTCATAAAAGTCACCCTTCTTGCGCCCCAGAGCTCCTGGATCTTGTCCACATGGATCTCTGGGGCCCCAACCCCTCCCCACCCGTCAAGGGCACCGCTACCTCCTCGTCCTAGTCGATGACCGCTCACGATACACCTCGGTCTCCCTCCTTCGCACGAAGGCCGAAGCATCGGCCTTTATCATCGCCTGGGCCGAGCAGGCGCGCACCCACTTCGGTCGTCCCGTTCGCCGCTTCCATTCCGATGGCGGCGGTGAATTCCTCAATCACCATCTCTCTTCCTATTTCTCCACCCATGGTATTCACCACACTTACACCCTCCCTCACTCCCCTCAGCAGAATGGCGTGGCAGAAGCTCGTGTTCGAGAAGTTACAAAGACCGCCAGGTGTCTTCTCGTTCACGCCTCCTGCCCGCCTTCTCTCTGGGGTTATGCTCTTCTCCACGCCGTCCTCCTCACTAACCTGTATCCCCACCCTCTCCTCCCCTCCACCACCCCCACCGAGCTGTGGACGTCAACTAAACCCGACGTCTCCCCCCTGCGCGTCTGGGGTTCCAGGGCGTATGTTCTCATACACCCAGCCGACCGCTCACGCACAGCAGGGAAGCTCGCCTCCAAGAGTCTACCCTGTGTATTCCTTGGTCACAACACCTCCTCCCCTGACTACCTCTTCCTTCATCCCCCCTCAGGTCGCCTCATTCGTAGTCGGGACGTCATCTTTGACGAATCCTCCCCGTACTACACCTCTCCTGCCTCACCTGACCCACTCACCATTCCTCCTCGCCCCTTCATCCCCTCTGACACTGTCACCCCCCCTCCTCCCCCTCTCCCTCTTATTCCCCCACCCCCAGCACCTCCTCCTCCCGAATCTGCTCCCTCCTCATCTTCCTCAGGTGACATCCTTGACCCAGTACTCCCCCCTCTCCCTCTCACTCCGCTTCCGCTCCATCCTCCCCCTTCTCCCCACCTCCCCCCCTCCACCTCCTTCCCCCCTCCTCCCCCACCTCCCCCACCTCCTCCTCCACCCCCCAGGTGTCTTCTCCCCTTGTCCTTCGCCACCGCCCTCATACTCGGTCCATGGATCTAGGCTTGAGCAACGGGTCGGGTCGGGTCGGGTAACCCGACCCGAACCCGACTTTTTGACGGGTCGGGTCGACATTTGCGGAGGGTCGACCCGACCCTCGGGTACCCGACCCGACCCGACCCGACCCGACCGACAAAACCCGACCCGTCGGGTCAGCTTATTACCCGTCCCTGCCCCTATGTTAACCCGACCCGACCCGACCCGAAATCGGGTCAAGTAGTACCCGACCTACTAAACTCGGGTCGGGTTGGCATTTCCTGAACTCCGACCCGACTTGACCCGACCCGACCCGACCCGACCCCGACATCGGGTAGGGCAAAGTCGGGTCGGGTCGGGTCGGGTCGGGTTCATGCTCAAGCCTACATGGATCCCCTCTTTGGTCCGCCCTTAGCCCCTCCCTCCCCTCAGGCAAAGGCACCCGCTCCAGCACCCTCTGCTTCCACCTCCGCACCCGCCGCAGCAGCTCCCGCCGCCGCATCAGTGCCTGCCCCGGTCGCCGCACCCGCAGCGTCAGGATCCGCCGCAGCAGTTGCCTCGGTCAAGCAGCCGTGCAGCCGAGTCGCAGAGTCGCAGTGTCGCAGCCTCCCCCTCAGCAGCGCAGCAGACTTGCAACACCACCCTCCCTTCCTCCTCCTTTCTCTCCCCTCCTCATCGAAGACTCCCATGGTGAATTTCTTCGCCTCCACCTCTTCTCCAACACCCAAGCAGTCGCCTTCAGCATGACCGGCGCTCCGGTACTGGTCTTCTCCGGTGCGCCCATCATCTTCGAGCCGGGAGATTATCACGAAGCTATGACATGCCCCGACCACCCTCATTGGGGCAAGGCAGTCCTCAAAGAGAACGAGGCCTTTGTCCGCAACGGCACCTTCATCGACGTACCCGCCCTCTCAACCACAACGTGGGCAAAGGCAAATGGGTATTTCGGGTCAAGCTCCTCCCTGGCGACGACCCGGTCTATAAGGCCCGTTACTGCGCCAAAGGATTTACGCAGCGGTACGGCCATGACTTCCTTGACACGTACTCGCCGACCGCCACTCCCCCTGTCGTCCGCGTGTTCTTGGACTTCGTTGGCCGGCGCGGCATGATCCTGCACTCGATGGATGTCACCACGGCATTTCTCCAAGGTGAACTCCATGAGCGCATCTTCATGGAGCGTCCCGAGGGCTGGCACCTCCCTTTCCCTCCCAACACCGTTTGGGAACTTCGCCGCCCGGTCTACGGCCTCAAGCAAGCTCCTCGGGAATGGCATGCCAAGCTCTCGAGCACTCTCCGTGCTCTTGGTTTTCGCCCTTCCCAGGCTTCCTCCTGCCTCTTCCTGCGCACCTCCCCCTCCCCCTTCTACATCCTCGTCTACGTCGACGACATGCTTCTTGCCGCTGACAACGAAGCAGACCTACAACAGGTCAAGGATGAGCTGCAGAAGCGCCTCCTCTGCAAGGACCTGGGGGAGGTCCGCAACTACCTCGGGATGGAGATTTCTCGCGATCGTACGGCCAGGACCATCTCCCTCTCTCAGGCATTCTACCTCGAGAAGGTCCTTGAACGCTTCGAGATGGCCACGGCCAAACCCGTCTCCACACCCCTCCAAGTCGGCCACCAGCTCTCGCCGACAACCACCCACGGTTCCTCCACCAGTCCTTACGCTGAGCTGGTCGGGTCCCTGATGTACGCCATGATGTGCACTCGCCCCGACCTCGCCTACCCTATCAGTGTCCTGGCGCGCTTTGTCGGCGCTGGCAAACACACTCCCGAGCACTGGCAAGCGGCCAAGCGCGTTCTCCGCTACATCAAAGGCACCAAGGACTATGTCCTCACCTTGGGCGGCCCCACCCCTCCTCAGCTCACTGGCTACAGCGACTCCTCTTGGGCAGATTCTCAGCCCGATCGTCGCAGCTCACAGGGGTATGGTTTCTCCCTCGGGAGTGGCCTCATTTCCTGGCGCTCCACCCGCTCCTCCTCGATCGCTCTCTCCTCGTGCGAAGCAGAGCTCTACGCCATCACCATGGCGGCCCAGGAGGCGCGGTGGCTCAGCTTCCTCCTCGCTGAGCTGGATGTCCCCAGCCCTGTCCCACCATCTGGTGCGACAATGCCAGTACTATCCACCTCACAAAGGAAGCCGTTTTCCATGGTCGCTCCAAACACATCGCGCTCCGACACTACTTCGTTCGTGAGCTCGTCCAGGCTGGACACCTCACCGTGCGCAAGATTGACTCTTCAGCCAACCTTGCCGACATCTTCACCAAGGCCCTCCCTCGTCGTCCCCATGCGGCTCTCCTTCGCCTTCTGGGTCTTGCCCCTCCCTCACAGGGGACTACCTGATTCAGGGGTTGCTTCTCCTCCCCTTCCCAAGACTTATGGCACTCTGTAGGCTAAGGGGTTGTGTTAGACTATTCTCCCTTCATTCTATTAGCCTACATCGTTTCATTGTCTTAGGAACTTATAAGCGCCCCACTAGGGTGTATACACCCAAGTTGGGGGTTGGGTTCCCAACCTTGTTGGGTTCCCAAATTGGTTGGGCTCCCAATTATTGGAACCCCCAATAATCCCAACCAAGATTATTGGACCCACCAATAATCTTGGCTAGGATTATTGGACCCCAATAAGTTGGCCAACTCAACTTATTGGGGTCACCAATAATCGTGGTCACCTCCCAACCAAACCCCCCCCCCCCCCCCTCCCTCCTACTCCTCACCTATGTATACCCACTCCTTTCCTAATACAATCATCACTTCAGATTCTCACAGAAATGGCGCACATGAAGGAGAAATGGCGCACATGAAGGAGAAATGGCGCACATGAAGGAGAAATGGTGCACATGAAGGAGAGATGGCGCACATGAAGGAGAAATGGCGCACATGAAGGAGAGATGGCGCACATGAAGGAGAAATGGCGCACATGAAGGAGAAATGGCGCACATGAAGGAGAAATGGCGCACATGAAGGAGAAATGGCGCACATGAAGGAGAAATGGCGCACATGAAGGAGAAATGGCGCACATGAAGGAGAAATGGCGCACATGAAGGAGAAATGGCGCACATGAAGGAGAAATGGCGCACATGAAGGAGAAATGGCGCACATGAAGGAGAAATGGCGCACATGAAGGAGAAATGGCGCACATGAAGGAGAAATGGCGCACATGAAGGAGAAATGGCGCACATGAAGGAGAAATGGCGCACATGAAGGAGAAATGGCGCACATGAAGGGGCAAAAGGCGCACAGGAAGGGGAAATGGCGCACATGAAGGAGAAATGGCGCACATGAAGGGGCAAAAGGCGCACATGAAGGGGGAAAAGGCGCACAGGAAGGGGAAATGGCGCACATGAAGGGGGAAAAGGCGCGCAGGAAGGGGAAATGGCGCACATGAAGGGGAAAAGGCGCACAGGGAGGGGAAATGGCGCACATGAAGCGGGAAAAGGCGCACAGGGAGGGGAAATGGCGCCCATGAAGGGGGAAAGGCGCATAGCAACGGAACCAACCCAGGGTAGGTATCATCTCTGATGCCTCCACTCCTCTCCCTCCCATGATCCCATCAGGACTCGCACGTGTGAAGGCAAGCCCGGTTCACTTGGGCATGAGGCCATTGACGCCCACACCTTTGCTGAATGGGTAAGGCTCATGGTCGAAAAAGTTTATGAAGTTTGCTGGATCAAGTATCGTTTCTTGATTACTGTTTTAGGGTGATTCCTGCATATCTATGGGAGATACCTTAGCATTCTAGGTAACGCAAATACAATTGCCACCATTGTCTGATTCCAACACCATAAGACCTTCAGGTCGAATCAGGGCTGCTTCATACCGACTGTTTGCGGCCCATTGCGTGCTGTGGCTCCGTGTGATAGCTAATGACAGAATTCTGACATCTGCCTGCCTGCTGTGACTGTGCACATCCATGGCATGGCAGGGAGTGGACTACCTGAAATACGACAACTGCTACAACGATGGAACCCCAAACAAGTTGCGGTACGTCGTGTCAACATCACTCGTGTCGGCATCACTTGTGTCGGCATCACTTGTGTTGTGTTGGCATCACCGTATTGGCGTCACTCGTGTGGGCCTCACGTTCGCTTTGAGGCATCACAGATTCCATCGCTTTCCCTCCCTCTCCCATCGACCTGTCACGATGGATTGCCTTTCTTCCCGTCTTCCGACTGCTCTGTCCGTTTTCCCTCGTTCGTTTGTTCATTCTTTTAGGGTGCATCCCACTCGTTCATTTGCCGTTCGTTTCAGTGCGTTTCAGTATGGTGCCTCACTGTCAAAAACGGTTTGCGTGCTTCACCGTCACCACTCACGACCATAGCGCACCAAACTGAATCGTCCCTCTGCCCCCACTCCCCCCCTCCCCCTTAACTCATCCTCCTCTGACGCCTAAATGCACCCTCAGCTACACAGTCATGCGCAATGCACTGGAGGCCACAGGGAGGGACATCTTCTTCTCCATGTGTGAATGGTGAGCTGAGAGCATCCTGTGGTGAGGTCAGAACATCCCATCTTAGAATGCACCATGTGCGAATGGTGAGCTGAGAGCATCCTGTGGTGAGGTCAGAACAGAACATCCCATCTTAGAATGCACCATGTGCGAATGGTGAGCTGAGAGCATCCTGTGGTGAGGTCAGAACATCCCATCTTAGAATGCACCATGTGCGAATGGTGAGCTGAGAGCATCCTGTGGTGAGGTCAGAACATCCCATCTTAGAATGCACCATGTGCGAATGATGAGCTGAGAGCATCCTGTGGTGAGGTCAGAACATCCATCTTAGAATGCACCATGTGCGAATGATGAGCTGAGAGCATCCTGTGGTGAGCTCAGAAACATCCCATCTTAGAATGCACCATGTGCGAATGGTGAGCTGAGAGCATCCTGGTGAGCTCAGAACATCCCATCTTAGAATGCACCATGTGCGAATGGTGAGCTGAGAGCATCCTGTGGTGAGCTGAGTGGATCCCAACTTTGCTCGAATGCAAACAAACGCATTTGCGGTGTGTCCTAGATCCCACCCTGCTACTCTGTTCTGCTGGCCACTTTCATGCCACTGTAGCTACCAATGGTGTCTTGGATTGGCGTAGGACTAAGCAGACAATAGTCAAGAGCGCATGGTGACCTGCGCTGCCTTGATCTCTGATCTGATCATGACACGTGTCGGCCTGCCTTGTCATGCCATCTGTCGGCCTCTCCTTGGCATGCATGCCACGTGTTGGCCTGCCTTGTCTTGCCACGTCTTGCCTGCCCATCCTGCCACGTGTGCTACTCCATGCAGGGGACAGGATGACCCTGCTCTGTGGGCGTATGACGTGGCAGACTCCTGGCGGACCACCGTTGACATTGGGGACACGTGGAGAGGTGAGAAGGGACACGTGGAGGAGAGGAAGGACACTTGGTGAAGGGGAAGAAGGACACGTGGAGAAGGGGAGGAAGGACACGTGGAGAAGGGGAGGAATGACACGTGGAGAAGGGGAAGAAGGGCACGTGGCGAAGGGGTAGAAAGTGGCGTGGATGAGGAGAGGGGAGGAGAAGAAATTGAGAAGACGGGTGAGCGGACGGAGGAGAAAGGAATGGCAAGGAGGGGAGAGGAAGAGGGAAGCGGAGCAAGAGGATTGAAGCTATTGGGGAAGGGGAGGGGAAGGAAGGGATGCGAAGTCATCTCCCTGCCTGTGTATATATGCAACTTGTTTCGAGGCGTCTCAAAATTGCGCGTGATAGGAGTCTAGTTTTGAGGAGTCTCAAAAGTGCGTGATAGGAGTCTAGTTTTGAGGCACCTCAAAACTAGGAAGGGATGGGAAGTCATCTCCCTTCCCGTGTATAAGCAACTGAGGTCATTTTTTATTTGACTCAACGTAAAAACTCGCCTCGAGAGGAAGGGAGAGATGAGAAGAAGTTTCCCTACTACCTATGTCCATGCGATGTCAATTCTTCCGAACTTCACCTCTTTATCTACGTGCATGTACCCTGCTCCCTCCCTGCATGCATGGCACATGGCACATGGCACACGGCATATGACTCATGGCACGTGGCACGTGGCATGTGGCACATGGCACATGGCACATGGCGGCACATGGCACATGGCATGTGGCACATCCAGCATGATTCGGATTGCAGACCTTAACAACAAGTGGGCCAAGTACGCCAAGCCAGGCGGGTGGAATGGTGAGTGGTGCCCCCAACACACGAGGTGCCCAACACACGAGGTGCCCAACACACGAGGTGCCCAACACACGAGGTGCCCAACACACGAGGTGCCCAACACACGAGGTGCCCAACACACGAGGTGCCCAACACACGAGGTGCCCAACACACGAGGTGCCCAACACACGAGGTGCCCAACACACGAGGTGCCCAACACACGAGGTGCCCAACACACGAGGTGCCCAACACACGAGGTGCCCAACACACGAGGTGCCCAACACACGAGGTGCCCAACACACGAGGTGCCCAACACACGAGGTGCCCAACACACGAGGTGCCCAACACACGAGGTGCCCAACACACGAGGTGCCCAACACACGAGGTGCCCAACACACGAGGTGCCCAACACACGAGGTGCCCAACACACGAGGTGCCCAACACACGAGGTGCCCAACACACGAGGTGCCCAACACACGAGGTGCCCAACACACGAGGTGCCCAACACACGAGGTGCCCAACACACGAGGTGCCCAACACACGAGGTGCCCAACACACGAGGTGCCCAACACACGAGGTGCCCAACACACGAGGTGCCCAACACACGAGGTGCCCAACACACGAGGTGCCCAACACACGAGGTGCCCAACACACGAGGTGCCCAACACACGAGGTGCCCAACACACGAGGTGCCCAACACACGAGGTGCCCAACACACGAGGTGCCCAACACACGAGGTGCCCAACACACGAGGTGCCCAACACACGAGGTGCCCAACACACGAGGTGCCCAACACACGAGGTGCCCAACACACGAGGTGCCCAACACACGAGGTGCCCAACACACGAGGTGCCCAACACACGAGGTGCCCAACACACGAGGTGCCCAACACACGAGGTGCCCAACACACGAGGTGCCCAACACACGAGGTGCCCAACACACGAGGTGCCCAACACACGAGGTGCCCAACACACGAGGTGCCCAACACACGAGGTGCCCAACACACGAGGTGCCCAACACACGAGGTGCCCAACACACGAGGTGCCCAACACACGAGGTGCCCAACACACGAGGTGCCCAACACACGAGGTGCCCAACACACGAGGTGCCCAACACACGAGGTGCCCAACACACGAGGTGCCCAACACACGAGGTGCCCAACACACGAGGTGCCCAACACACGAGGTGCCCAACACACGAGGTGCCCAACACACGAGGTGCCCAACACACGAGGTGCCCAACACACGAGGTGCCCAACACACGAGGTGCCCAACACACGAGGTGCCCAACACACGAGGTGCCCAACACACGAGGTGCCCAACACACGAGGTGCCCAACACACGAGGTGCCCAACACACGAGGTGCCCAACACACGAGGTGCCCAACACACGAGGTGCCCAACACACGAGGTGCCCAACACACGAGGTGCCCAACACACGAGGTGCCCAACACACGAGGTGCCCAACACACGAGGTGCCCAACACACGAGGTGCCCAACACACGAGGTGCCCAACACACGAGGTGCCCAACACACGAGGTGCCCAACACACGAGGTGCCCAACACACGAGGTGCCCAACACACGAGGTGCCCAACACACGAGGTGCCCAACACACGAGGTGCCCAACACACGAGGTGCCCAACACACGAGGTGCCCAACACACGAGGTGCCCAACACACGAGGTGCCCAACACACGAGGTGCCCAACACACGAGGTGCCCAACACACGAGGTGCCCAACACACGAGGTGCCCAACACACGAGGTGCCCAACACACGAGGTGCCCAACACACGAGGTGCCCAACACACGAGGTGCCCAACACACGAGGTGCCCAACACACGAGGTGCCCAACACACGAGGTGCCCAACACACGAGGTGCCCAACACATGAGGTGCCCAATGTTGGCATTGGTTCGCCAACCACTAGGGCGACCTAGGGGTGGCGAGCAGAATCGTGGGAGGAATTTCAGGCGGTGGGAACGGAAGAAAAGTCAATTGAAAAAATAGCGGTGATTGAGGAATATTGGTGGAATTCGGAAGAAGTGACGGTGCGACTGTGCGACGGTGGTGCACCAAGGAAGAACGGTGGAAATAGGATGACGGGAGATGAAGAAGAAGAAGGGGAAGGAGTGGGAAGGAAGGTGTGAAGAACATGTGTTGTGGAGTTACAGGAGGAGTTGTGGAAGAAAATGGGATTTTGGACGGTGTGCGTTCAGTGGCACCGAACTTGGGGTCGGTGTCGGTGTTGAAACACGCGGACCGCGTTCCGATGTGATTGCGTGTGCGACCTGAAACGAAACGAGGCGCGCTCGTTAGTCAAAGCGCCCTTGGTGGTTACGAGCCGCGAATTGGCATTCTGGTTGACTATAAAAGTGTTTATCTGTTTGTTATTTAAAAATAAAGTTGAGTTCTGAAACTTGCAGTACATAATCACGACTTCTAGCAAACGTGAGGATAACGTTGGAATCGTGTCGACGAGGAGATTATCATAGAGCCCAGTGCTTCTATATAATCCTAGTGCAAGGAGCCCTTGCAAGGCGAAATCACATCGGCCGGAGGCGATGGGCGAGTTGGCGTGTCGGAGTCCGAGCGCTCAGTGCGACTGCGTTTTGTAGCCGTAGGCGAGGAGTCCTTGCTACGAGCTAACGGTAGGACGTTGGCATCAGTCACGAGCAAGGTTGGCTTGCTGTGAGCACGTTTGACATTTCGTTGCCTGGGAGCTGTAGTTTCGCGCGGAAGCTATAGCCGACTCAGACCCAACACAAGGTGCCCAACACACGAGGTGCCCGACACACAAGGTTCCCGACACACGTAGTCGCTTGTGAGGCACTCAATCGAGCCAACAGCTAGTCAGCCACGCACGTCAAGGCAGGCGGGTGGAACGGCGCTTATCAGTGGGTGATTTGAAGAAGCAGGGGCTAAAATCTTTGAGGGAAGGGTAAAAGCTAGAGTTTGGAAGGGTAAAGGTGGCACCATGGCTCCGTGGCACCATTGCGATCAAGCAGTGAAAATGCTCCAAGGTCAATCAATGCTTGCTCATCGGCCCGCATCATCCTTCAACCAGTCATGCTGCTTGCAAAAGTATGCCATGGCACAAGCACCGTGCTGCCCCCCCCCCCTTCCCCTCTGTCCAACACCCTCCACACCCACTTTTTTGATTGTCCACTCAGATCACACTCTGAGTTGCTGCAGGTGGGGGATGGGGACATGTATAAGTAGGGAGCACCAAGTGCACTGCTCACGAGTTCAGGTGTCCAATCTCTTTCCCCAAACCCTCCACTCCGCCCCCCTTCCCCCCACACTTGAACCTCCCCCTCACAGACCCCGACATGCTGCAGGTGGGGAATGGAATCATGTGAAACTGGGGAGTACCGACCGAGTGCACTGCTCAAGAGCTCAGGTGTCCAATCTCTTTCCCCGAACCCTCCACTCTGCAAACCTTCACCCCCACACACTTGACCCTCCCCCTCACAGACCCCAACATGCTGCAGGTGGGGAATGGGGGACATATGAAAACGGGGAGTGTCGAGTGCACTACTCAAGAGCTCAGGTGTCCAATCTCTTTCCCCGAACTCTTGTCTCCTGATAACCGCCCCCCCTCGCAGACCCCGACATGCTGCAGGTGGGGAATGGCGGCATGAGAGAGTCGGAGTACCGCGTGCACTTCAGCCTCTGGGCCATCATGAAGGTGGGCATGGGTGCTTGCAGGTGGGCATGGGTGCATGGAGGTGGGCATGGGTGCATGGAGGTGGGCATGGGTGCATGGAGGTGGGCATGGGTGCATGGAGGTGGGCATGGGTGCATGGAGGTGGGCATGGATGCATGGAGGTGGGCATGGGTGCATGGAGGTGGGCATGGGTGCATGGAGGTGGGCATGGGTGCATGGAGGTGGGCATGGATGCATGGAGGTGGGCATGGGTGCATGGAGGTGGGCATGGGTGCATGCATGGAGATGGCCCTTGAGACGTCACAAAAGGTATGAGAGAGTGTCGCGTGCATTCCAGTCTCTGGGCCATCATGAAAGTGAGGTGAGCATGGAAAGAGGACGGGCCTCTTTTACGCTTTCGATCTGCGATGGTGCATATCTACGGTGTGCATGCCATGCGTGTAGGAGTGTATTCGTTAGGTGCCTCAAAAGGGATGCTTTCGATTCGCAATGGTGCGTATGTACGATGTGCTATTTCTGGTGCCTAAAAAATAGACTCCTTTTGAGGCGCCTCAAAACTGATGCTTTCGATTCGCAATGGTGCGTATGTACGATGTGCTTTTTCTGGCGCCTAAAAAATAGACTCCTTTTGAGGCGCCTCAAAACTGATGCTTTCGATTCGCAATGGTGCGTATGTACGATGTGCTTTTTCTGGCGCCTAAGAAATAGACTCCTTTTGAGGCGCCTCAAAACTGATGCTTTTGATTCGCAATGGTGCGTATGTACGATGTGCTTTTTCTGGCGCCTAAGAAATAGACTCCTTTTGAGGCGCCTCAAAACTGATGCTTTCGATTCGCAATGGTGCGTATGTACGATGTGCTTTTTATGGCGCCTAAAAATTAGACTCCTTTTGAGGCGCCTCAAAACTGACCGTCTCAAGATCATTAGACCTTTTAGGGTAAATTATATCAAGGTCAGCAACGAGAGTAACAACACACTCTGTAATGAGTCTGCTTTTGACTCCACTCAAACATTTTTGCGAGCGACGTAAATTCCAGAAAGGTCGGCACTGAGATAATCTTATCAACACAGTTGTGAAGTAAATTTCCAACCGGAACACTCACTTCCCTCCGCACCCATCCTGCCCGCCCACCCCATCTACATCCTTCGGAGGGAAGAGCAATCTCGGATCACTCATCCACTACCGAAGCACTCATTTCCTACTGAAGGGAAGTGACATCATTCTAGGGAATGAGTGATTTGGAGGGATTTGGAGGGATTTGGAGGGATTTAAGACCAGTAAATTTCCACCCGAAGCACTCATTTCCCTCTACACCGTCCTCAACCCCCCCCCCTCCCCTCCCCCACCCTCAACATCCTTTCACTAGGCGCCTCTCCTGATTGGCTGCGACCTCTCTCGTGTATCAAATGCAACACTGCACATTTCTTACTGAAAGGAATGACATCATTCTAGGGAAGGAGTGACTCAGAGAAAAGTGAGACCTTTAATGAGTGAGTCGGAGAAAAGTGAGACCTTTAATGAGTGAGTCGGAGAAAAGTGAGACCTTTAATGAGTGAGTCGGAGAAAAGTGAGACCTTTAATGAGTGAGTCAGTAAATTTCCAACCGAAGCACTCACTTCCCTCCTCAACCGTCCTTCCCTCCCCCTCCCCCCTCTTCCCTCCACCTCCTTTCACCAGGCGCCTCTCTTGATTGGCTGCGACCTCTCTCGTGTATCAAATGCGACACTGCGCATTCTGGGGAATGATGAAGTCATTGCTGTTAACCAAGGTGTGCGTTCGTGCCAGGTGTGTGCTCGTGCCAGGTGTGTGCTGGAGCCAGGTGTGTGCTCGTGCCAGGTGTGTGCTCGTGCCAGGTGTGTGCTCGTGCCAGGTGTGTGCTCGTGCCAGGTGTGTCCTCGTGCCAGGTGTGTGCTCGTGCCAGGTGTGTGCTCGTGCCAGGTGTGTGCTGGAGCCAGGTGTGTGCTCGTGCCAGGTGTGTGCTGGAGCCAGGTGTGTGCTCGTGCCAGGTGTGTGCTCGTGCCAGGTGTGTGCTGGAGCCAGGTGTGTGCTCGTGCCAGGTGTGTGCTCGTGCCAGGTGTGTGCTCGTGCCAGGTGTGTGCTCGTGCCAGGTGTGTGCTCGTGCCAGGTGTGTGCTCGTGCCAGGTGTGTGCTGGAGCCAGGTGTGTGCTCGTGCCAGGTGTGTGCTCGTGCCAGGTGTGTGCTCGTGCCAGGTGTGTGCTGGAGCCAGGTGTGTGCTCGTGCCAGGTGTGTGCTGGAGCCAGGTGTGTGCTCGTGCCAGGTGTGTGCTCGTGCCAGGTGTGTGCTGGAGCCAGGTGTGTGCTCGTGCCAGGTGTGTGCTCGTGCCAGGTGTGTGCTCGTGCCAGGTGTGTGCTCGTGCCAGGTGTGTCCTCGTGCCAGGTGTGTGCTCGTGCCAGGTGTGTGCTCGTGCCAGGTGTGTGCTGGAGCCAGGTGTGTGCTCGTGCCAGGTGTGTGCTGGAGCCAGGTGTGTGCTCGTGCCAGGTGTGTGCTCGTGCCAGGTGTGTGCTGGAGCCAGGTGTGTGCTCGTGCCAGGTGTGTGCTCGTGCCAGGTGTGTGCTCGTGCCAGGTGTGTGCTCGTGCCAGGTGTGTGCTCGTGCCAGGTGTGTGCTCGTGCCAGGTGTGTGCTGGAGCCAGGTGTGTGCTCGTGCCAGGTGTGTGCTCGTGCCAGGTGTGTGCTCGTGCCAGGTGTGTGCTGGAGCCAGGTGTGTGCTCGTGCCAGGTGTGTGCTGGAGCCAGGTGTGTGCTCGTGCCAGGTGTGTGCTCGTGCCAGGTGTGTGCTGGAGCCAGGTGTGTGCTCGTGCCAGGTGTGCGTTCGTGCCAGGTGTGTGCTCGTGCCAGGTGTGTGCTGGAGCCAGGTGTGTGCTCGTGCCAGGTGTGTGCTCGTGCCAGGTGTGTGCTCGTGCCAGGTGTGTGCTCGTGCCAGGTGTGTGCTCGTGCCAGGTGTGTCCTCGTGCCAGGTGTGTGCTCGTGCCAGGTGTGTGCTCGTGCCAGGTGTGTGCTGGAGCCAGGTGTGTGCTCGTGCCAGGTGTGTGCTGGAGCCAGGTGTGTGCTCGTGCCAGGTGTGTGCTCGTGCCAGGTGTGTGCTGGAGCCAGGTGTGTGCTCGTGCCAGGTGTGTGCTCGTGCCAGGTGTGTGCTCGTGCCAGGTATGTGCTCGTGCCAGGTGTGTGCTCGTGCCAGGTGTGTGCTCGTGCCAGGTGTGTGCTCGTGCCAGGTGTGTGCTCGTGCCAGGTGTGTGCTCGTGCCAGGTGTGTGCTCGTGCCAAGTCTGTGCTCCTGCCAGGTGTGTGCCTGCCAGGTGCGTGCTGGAGCCAGGTGTGTGCTCGTGCCAGGTGTGTGCTCGTGATTGGTGTACTTGCTCACACGTGATTGGTGTATTTGCTCACACGTGATTGGTGTATTTGCTCACACGTGGCACATTACGATTGGTGCAGACCGGCTGGGAGTGCAGGCAAGGAAGGTGCAAGTCTCTGAGGACAGCCTCATAGAGGTGAGAGAGGTCAGATGGGCCCTTGCTCGCCTAGGGTGAGGGAGGTCAGATGGGCCCTTGCTCGCCTAGGGTGAGTGAGGTCAGATGGGCCCTTGTTCGCCCAAGGTGAGTGAGTTGGCTGGAATAGGGACTACCCCTCTCTTGGTGGGAGGAGAGTACAGTGGGGGGAGGTGAGTGCAGTGGGGGAGGTGAGTGCAGTGAGGGGAGGTGAGTGCAGTGGGGGGAGGTGAGTGCAGTGGGGGAGGTGAGTGCAGTGGGGGGGAGGTGAGTGGGCAGAAGTAGACCTTTTCACGCGAACCATGCATTCTGTGTCCACTTGGTAAGCTGACTCTGATGATGCTGCATGTGCTTGCAAGCGAGCTGGTCCTTGTGGCACTTCACAGCAACTACCTCATGGGGCAGCACTAATTCTGCGACGCTTATTCAGCAGTGTTGATTCAGCACTGCTTTATTCAG